AATGCCATACTAGTAGTAACAAGGACGCTACTAGAAACAAGTGCATCGCTTCAAGTAACAAGTGCAATACTAGTAGTAAAAAGGAGGCTACTAGAAGCAAGTGCATCGCTTCTAGTAACCAGTGCCTTACTAGTAGTAACAAGGACGCTACTAGAAACAAGTGCATCGCTTCTAGTAACAAGTGCCTTACTAGTAGTAACAAGGACGCTACTAGAAACAAATGAATCGCTTCTAGTAACAAGTGCCATACTAGTAGTAACAAGGACGCTACTAAAAACATTAAGCTACTAGAAACAAGTTTACTTTACTTTAAGTTACTTTAGTTTAATTCCAATTCTAATTTATTTAATTCTAATTTAGTTTAATTCTAATTTAACTTAATTCAATTCTAATTTGTTACTACTAGCGATGCACTTGTTACTACTAGTAACAAGGACGCTAACACCATAAAGCACCACAGTCTGCTGCAAGTACTGAGAGGTTCGCTGCCTCGACTCTGTGATCGTCTGCGTGACAAGCGGGGATCTCACCTCGGATGCTAGCGATAGCTTCCAACCTAAAAGCAAAAGGAACCTAATGGAGATGTTCCAACCTACAAGCGATGGCCTCCAACCTAAGAGCGATGGCAAAAAAACCAAAGCAGTTATTCTTCAAAACACGAACTGTCTCTCCCTTTCATCAACGCCTTGAATTTCGAATCCCAAGCCCCCCACCAGAAAATCCTTTACAAAAGTCAAAACCAAAAACATATCTTGCTTGAGTCAGCGTCCACTCACCATTCGCCACCAAACCACCATACCCATTGCCGGCCGTCGTACTACTACTTGGTGATCAGGTTTAGTTAGCAAAACGTATATGTATGCACAACTTACTTGCAGCATGGTTGTAACTTGGGTGTATGTAACTATATGTAAAGCAAGTTATATATCTAAGATTTTTAAGTTAATGTTAGATGATTTTCATGTCAGTTCTGTATCTTAAAGGATTTACTAAGTAGTGTTTGTATTTGTAAATTAAAAACAAATCATAACTAAGTTAGGGAAGTTGACTTTTTCAACGATGTCGGGGGTTTTCTCATCGCTCGAGCTCCCCAAACCGATCGCTTGGGGGGGCGAAGTGCTTCGATCTGCCCGCGGGCGATGTGCGCTTCGAAAACAAAGACGCCTGTTGCACCAAGTAGCTTCCAACCTACTAGCGATGGCCTCCAACCTAATAGCCAAGACTTTTAAAGAACCCTAATCGCGTGTTGCACCACATAGCTTCGTACCTGATCCTTGATCCTTGTTCATTACGTCGTAAACTTAGCTTTTCGCCTATGGGTGTCCCTTAAAATTCTTGGAACCAACACTATTAGTGTGAGCGTGAGCTATCCTGCGTCCAGTTACAGGGGGTGCCTAACTTTATTAAATATGAGTGGGCTAAGAAAACAATTGAAAAAAACTGAATAAAACAATAAAGCAATATGTAAAAAGGAATGAAAACCTCTCAAAAATAAAAATAAAACAAAGAATACCCGATTCTTCCCTTATAAGCCGTGTCGACCCCCTCCCTTCTCGGTGTCTCCCACGCTCCGCGTCGCTCCGCGTCGCTCCGCGTCGCTCCGTGTCCTCTGTCGCTGTTTCCAAGGCTCGAACAGGCGAGATGAAGCCTGAGGTGTTCACCGAGAGGAAATCACCGACGTCGTCGAGCGTCGAACGAAGCCCATTTCGATCTATCTGCCTTGAAGCCTTTTTGGGGTCTAAGGCCTATTTTTCGAGTTTCACCCATGTCAAGAAAAAGACTCTCACCCTTCGTTTCAGAAGCCATTCATATCTCTTTCTCTTTCCATGGCTCTCCCTTTCTTCAAAATACAATAATTCCTTCGTCCCTCAGGTCCCAACAAGTGGCGCAAGCGGCCACAGCGAAGATCCTGGGCACGGCATGTCGCGTTTCAAAGTGGTTCACTCCCCATCAGATGTGAAGAAATGGTGGGCATTTCTTTGATTCGCGCAAAAGAAACGGTTTCAGCGGTTCTCAAGAATTTGAGTCTCGTGCCCGAGTTTCGCATGCCGCATTGCAACGTGAGTAAGAATAGGAATGACAAGTGTTTTGCGCATTGACAGTGCCCCACTTCCAAAGCAAAAAGAATGCTCCGACTCTGACGGCGGTTTCTGCACTGAAAGGATGTATCGTCGACATGGCTGAAGTGCTCCGTTTCTGTGTGTTCACTTATATGTACTTGTTCATGCCTGTTCCTGTTTGATTGTTCAGCTGGTTCATTCTGATCCATGTGCAATCTCAAACAAGCACATTGAATGCTTCAATGCAGTGTGTTTAGTAAAAGAATTTAGCTTCCAAGATCGGACAAACGAACACTGAGAGACATGAGAGAAGCTTTTTGCGTCAGGCGCCCATGATGTCTCTCATGTTTTTCGCACATGTGGTACCACATTGTGGTACGTATGCGGCTCCATCGAGGTCATGTCGTTCAGACTGTCAACCCCCCAAGCGCATGCCAGTACCTTGAAAGGCCTGGAAGGGCTGCATTTCTGCACCAGAGGCTCCACCACCTCCACCTCCACCTCCAAATGGCGACGGCCCGGACCCCGGTGGTGGTCCACCTGGTGGTCCACCGGGCGGAGCACCACCTCCCGGTGGCATAAGGCCTTGGAGGCCTTGCAAGCCGAAGCTCCCAGGACCACCGGGACCAGCTCCTCCAAGGAATGTCTTCTATATTAGGTCTTAATATAACTAGGCAACTAGTAGCTTCGTGTTCGTAGTAAGGCCGGGAGCCCCTAGTAGCGTCCGATTGCTCCTAGTAGCAATGCCAGGAGCCCCTAGTAGCTTCTTGTTACTTGTTAAGTTTCCCTTAATATCTAGGAACCAAATCATTAGTGCGAGCGCTTCCTTGAAGAAGCGTCTTCACTCTCCTGCGTCCATATGTAGTATAGCTACTTAAGCTACTAGCGACTCCCGTTGGCTACCTGCCTAGCTAACCTACCTAGCTAACTGCTTTAACCTACCCCTCAACACTGTTTGTTGACAGCTCTTCTCGTCTGGCTCTCCTAACAGCTCTTCTCGAGAGACCAAGGCGTTGAGCTTCATCGCCAGAAAGGCTCCGGACGCTTGGCAGCAGAAGGAGACCAGGACAAAGGGTCCCCCGGTCAACAGCTTCAGCATGAGAAAGATGGAATTCATCGCGGCCAGAAAGGAATAGGTCAAACAACAGCTAAGACCATGGCCCATGCTGCATTGTCCCAGCGGACTGCTCGCCAGACAAGCATAACACGGGGCAACATTCGGATCTTCGTTGAGCAAGAAGATGCCCACGATGCCACACAGCAACTCACTCACGGGAATATCTCCGGTACAAAAGCGACCAATGGCGGCCAGGAAGGTGCCCATCACGCAGAAACGAATCTTTCGCAGTTTCTCTTGCATCTCAGGTGTCAATTCACCCACCAGGACAGGAAGTGGCCCGCCGATGGGAAACATGGCGAACCCCAACAATTCAGGGGCCGAAGAAAGAATCGCGGAGGCTCGAGGCCTTGATTTGGTGACCTGTTCTCTGGCTAAAGAAACCTTGATCTTAACATGCCTTGGCCCTTGCACGATGCATCTTTGCATAGCCTTTTTGTCCTGTACTCATGGCAGGCTTTTGTGTTAGACTGTTTTGCACTCTCCCTCTTTCGAGCAAGAATCGAAGTGGAACTGGGTATGGCGATGTGGAGCCATTCAACCAAGCAACAAAACAAGAAAACATGTTCAAGAAGCCCTTTAGTAAGGCACCACTTTGTGATTTGTTGGGCAAAAAGCAGAAGTGAAAAAGCAAATAACCAAAGAAGGTACAAACCTCCGGCGCTCTGTCTCACAATCTTGTCACTGTCATAAGTCCTGTCAGACGTTTTCAACTAAGTCATTCTTCCATTCTTCCATCGACAACCCGGCATCGATGCCCAAAAAACTGGCATCCAAATCGTCAAATGCGATGTTCCAAACCTTCATCTGCACCAAGTCTGTCTTTGCGTGCATATGACACGCTTCTTGTTGTCTTGCCTTACCAAAGAAGGTCCAAGGAGTCCACTCGTTTCTTTTGAATAGCGATGGCCTCCAACCTAGTAGCGTTGGTCCTCGTTCGTAATTGCTGCGTCGCATCCTTTTCGGTCGCGTCTTCTTTGGCGAAATGGCCCCTTGAGGGCCCTCAGCAGCCCGAATCGCGTCCACGAACGCGATTCGGAAAGGAAAGGATGTGCTATCGGCTATCGGATGGACCCGACCCAGCAAGGCAACAACGGTGTTTCAACACGTTTCTTTAAAGGGCTTGTGAGGAGATGGCCTTGGCTATCAAGAACTGCGGTCCAGCCAAGAGGTCAAACCTTTTCGGCTTGTGAACCTCTCGTCACTTGAGCATCTCAGCGGTGTCTTGGTATCTCAGAAGCCTGTGACGAAGTCTGACAATGCGAACAGCTGTTGCTTCTCACAGTGAAAACGGGTTTCTTTTTGTCCTTCTAACTGTTCTGTGTCTCTTTGTTTGACAACACATGTGACAACGCTTGTGACAACTTGATCTCTCGTTTTGTAAAAAGTAAAAAAAGGAGGAAAGGTCGTCTTGTAACAAGTGCCTTATACTACTAGTAACAATGTTTGCTATTAAACTTATTTTAAATCTAATTCTAATAGCAAACATTGTTACTACTAGTAAGGCACCTGTTACTACTAGCGTGGCACCTGTTACTACTAGCGTGGCACTTGTTCCTCTCCTGAGAAGTCCTCCACGTCTTCAAGGTCGATGGAGTCCGCGATTTGCTTCGCAGCCTTCGTGGCCACCGCTGTGCGGCGCACGATTCCTTGGAGGCCTCGCAACGACTGACCGGTCAAGCCGACCAAGTCAGTGTGGCGTTCGTTTAAAAGCAGAAGACACGGAGCAAGATGCAAGAGATAAATCAGGGTCAAACAGATCCAAAGAGGACGTGGTCAAGTAAAACAACTGAGTGCCTACTTGTGCCGCAAGGCTTCCGGACTGAGGATATATCGTGCTATGTTCAAAGGGTAGGGGACGCTACTAGGAGCAAAGACGCTACTAGGGGCTCCTGGCCTTACTACTAGGAACAAGAACGCTACTAGGAACAAGAAGCTATCGCATCCGTAGGTTTCAGTGTGATCTGCGCACCTAAGGGATGTATCCCCAGTAATTAGTATTGGAATTTATCACGATATATCCTCAGTGGGTGTGGAGGCACACGACCGAAGTGTCACCCAACAGCGACGTGTGCCATCTAATGGCCTCCAACCTAATAGCTTCTTGCTCCTAGTAGTAACAAGTGCATCGCTAGTAGTAACAAGTGCCTTACTAGTAG